CTCCCCTGCCAGAGTAGAATTGTTACATTGGGTAAACCTTTCCCTGGAGCAGGACCGTAAACTGCTATGCGTATGGTGACTTTGGGGTATTCCTTGGCTCCCAACTACCAGGATACCTTTCCATTCGAGCCCCAGTGCTTACACTCATCTCCTAGGCTACAACCATCTGCAAAATGTATTTAGCCCCTATATTTGATCTCAACTTAAAGTAATTTGAAGCTACAAGAACTTTGGCAAACCAGAGGGGAAAGAATTCTGGACTATGCTTACCTTCTTACCCACACACTGGAATCTAATGGAAGAGTGTGTTCTATTTAATGGCAATGTAATGTTCTCTATCCAGACACTGATTTATACTTTTCCGAGCATCCATGATGCCATTGGCTTATAGGCAATGTTTATTCTTTTGAGTGTCAGAAGAATTGGCATTACTCTTGGGCCTGACATCTCTCATAATTTCCTTCTCCAAAAAAATGTAGAGTGAGAAGCTAATTGCATTACAAAAATAACACCAATGGGCTGGTGAAATGGCTTAGTGGGTAAAGGTGCTTGCTGCCAAGCCTGACAACCTGATCTCTGGGACCCAGATAGTGTAGAGTGAAACAGCTCTTGAAAGCTATCCTCTAGCCTCTACCAGTGTGCCACAGTACAAACACATAATAATGGGGGTGGGATGTTGTTGTTTTTTTAAAGTAACATCAGGGGCTGGCAAGACAGCTCAATGATTAAGAGTACTTGCTGATCTTCCAGAGGATAAGGAGTGCAGTTCTTAGCACCCACATCAAACACCTTAAAACCACCTGTAACTCCAGCTTAAGGGGACCTGACACCCTCTTCTGGCCTATTATGGGCACCTGCACCCATGTGGTATATACTCAGACATACACACACAAACACATAAATAAAACTAATTCTTTTAAAGTAACATTGAAATTCTCTATTTGAGGAATGTTCTATAGGACATTTCGTTAACAGGGTTACCCTCTTTTCCATTTGTGTCAAATCTCACACTCCTCAAAGAAGTAGAGTCAAAGATTTGCAAGTTTCTTTTTTTGGGGGGTGGGGTGAGATCCCCCACCCCATCCTCGAGACAGGCTTTCTCTGTGTAGCCCTGGCTGTCCTGGAACTCACTCTGTTGACCAAGCTGGCCTCCAACTCACAGAGATCCTCCTGCCTCTGAATCCTGAGTGCTGGGACCACTAGCCAGTGCAAGTTTATTTTCTATAGACTTTAAATGGCAAGAGTCCTAGGAGACTAGAAGCAAGTCTATGTCTACATCTGTGTGTTCCAAAATGCAGAGTGATGAATACTGTCCACGAATCAGTCAGTGCTTTTGTTTTGGAGCATCTTATTGAAAATCTATTAGTTTGAAGAGATTTTTTTTTTTTTTTGCTTTGTTCTGGTTTTTGATGTTTTGTTTTGTTTTTCGAGATAGGTCTCTAACTTTAGCCCAAATTGACCCTGAACCCACATCCTGCTGCCTCAGTCACCCTAGTGCTGAGGTTTACAGGTTCGTGCATACCTGATCTTTGATTCTATAAGATCAAAGCCATTACACAGAATTATTGTATAACATATATTCATTGCCCAAGATTTTGGTTTTGGTTTTAGTTAATTTTGGTTTGTTTTTGAGACAGGGTCTCATGTAGCCCGGGCTGGCTTCAAACTCTCTGCATAAGCTGAGGCTGACCTTGAGCTCCTGCTGCTCCTGCCTCTTCCTCACCAGTGCTGGGGTTACAGCCATTCACCACCACACCCATCTAAACTACTTTGATTTTAAAGAAAAAAAAAATGACAGGGATAGGCGCATCCATAGTTCAGCAATAGATACCTCAGCAACACCACAAGAGAGAGGTGGGGCAATAAACATGGGAGGAACACAGGGTAGAGGCACCCAGTTAGGCTCAAGTCACTGGTGACATAGATCTCGGGAAGGAGGAAGGCTCTTTGCACTACTGGGCTCTCTAATGACTCATATCTATTAGTTTTTGCATATGTTTTCATCTACCAAATAGATTAAAAACAAGAAGTAAAGTAGACAAGGAAAGTAGAGAGCCCAGAAACAAGTGCCTGAAACTGTGATATACAGTATCAACTGCTTCACAATATAAATTAAATATCTGCTTCCATATAAAAGAAAAAAATGTAATAACAGGTTCCTTTAAGTGGCCCCTACCAAATAGCAAACAATACTCCAAAGATGAGATTTTTAATCCTAGTCTTTTCTAAATTGAATAGAATCAGCAAAATCCCATTTGGGGGCTTCAGTTAATAAAGGAACATTCAATCCTCTAGATCAACTCGTCCCTTTTCTAAATCTCCTAATCTGAGAACATAGAATTTTACACCTAGCTATTTTTTAAAGATTTTATTTATTTATTTACAATGTATACAACATTCTGCTTCCATGTATATCTGCACACCAGAAGAGGACACTAGATCTCATAAACGGATGGTTGTGAGCCACCATGTGGTTGCTGGGAATTGAACTCAAGACCTCTAGAAGAGCAGTCGGTGCTCTTAACCTCTGAGCCATCTCTCCAGCACCCCCTAGCTACTTTTAAAGTTTTTAAAATAACAGACTTTACAAATTCAAATTTTTATCTAGCATTTACTAAGCAGACTGTTAAGTCATTGCTATTTGAAACAGAAATGCAGATTGAAGAATTTAGATTCATGATATCTGTTCTTAATGAGTTTGCTCGGTAAAATGGCACAAAGCTTGACTTCTCCAGATTGTAGCAGTGAAGACAATCCAAATGCAGGGGACACCCAACTCCAGAGAGTACTACCAAGGCTCAATGTAAGAAATCCTGCTAACTGAGCCTGAACATCTCGGTGTCTAACAGACAGCTGTCACCCCTCCCTTTCCTCTCCTTTTCCTAGGCTTTTCTTCCTAGAGCAAGCACTGTTCGTCTCCACAGGTATTAATCATCCACATTACTACACCCAGCACTGAATCTATAGCTGTTCCTATGCCCACTGCTGCAATACATGGATCTCACAGAAGCTTTTCTCAGGAAGCAGATGTTTCCTCATATCTACTAGAGACACCAGAAAGAAAGCTATGCAACATATCTATGAATGCTAAACTATGCACCTTGCTTGGGCCAGTGAGATGGCCAGTCAGACACTTACTTCCAAGCCTGACAATCCAAGTCTGACTCTCAACTCCACCTGGTGGAGGAAGACAACTCCTATGAGTCATTTTCAGACCTCCCAGGCATCTACTGTGGCACCTATGTACAAACACACACAAACACACGGTAGGTAATAGATTTAGTCCCATCAATTAAATGGTGCTGGGAGTACAGCTCAGTCAGTAGAATGCTTGCCTAGCACGAATGAAGTCCTGGATTTGATTCCTAGCACTACACACAACTGGGCTTGGTGGCAGATGCCTGTAATCCCAGCACTTGAGAGGTAGAGATAGGATCAGAAGCTTAAAATTGGGGTCAACCTGGGTTACATGAGACTCTGTTTCAAAAAATAATAAGCAGGGCGGTGGTGGAGCACACCTTTGATCCCAACACTCAGGAGGCAGAGGCAGGCAGATCTCTGAGCTCAACACTAGCCTGTTCTACAGAGCAAGTTCCAGGACAGCCAGGGCTACATAGAAATACCCTGTCTTAAAAAAACAAAACAAAAAGAAAAAGGCAACAACAACAAAAAAGTATATAAATACATAAGCCTCACAAGAACCCCAAACCTATCTCCTGCAATATGCAATTAACTTGTACTAGGAACTGAAGCAAGATTGGGATTTCCAATCCAGCCTAGCTACTTAGTAAGAACCTGTCGAAGTAACAGCAATAGAAGGTTTCAGAATCAGATAAAACTGTGTTGTGTTGATCATGTAGTTAACAGTTTAAAATTTTAGATTCTGTTGGCAATAGCCTTGGGAAGGAATTCAGAGTCCTCTTGATGTAGAACAGTATTTCATTTGTCCTCATTTTCATTATAATTCAGGATTTTCGAGTTGGATGAGGCATGATCTAATGACATTTATCAACCCACATCACAGTTCAGGGAGGGTGAGGGGGTGTCAATCATTTATGGGTAGGTCAAAGAGTAGGAAAACCCTCCATAGAAAACCCTAATAAACCCAAACAAGCCCATCTGTGCTCAGGAAGAATCAGGCTCACAAGCCCAGTTTCTCAAAATTCTTAGACTCTTCCGTTCCTTACCAACCGTACCAAAGTACGGCACTGATCTTATTCTGAGACAATGTACATAAACTCATTCTATTGGAGTGTATCGGTCCCCAGTATCTGTAATCAATTAAGACAGACTCGGCTTCCCCCTTTAGGAAAGAAGAAGTCACAATTTCATGGACAGTAGAACCCACGATGTGCTTGCTGGTCTTCGGCTGTTCCCCAAGGAAACACAAAATCTATCACATTTCGAATAGTATTTGCCAGGCTGGTCCCGGGCGCTTTAAACGGATGGTTTCACTCCATCCATGTTCTAAAATAAGCACTTATGTTCATTTACAGACGAAGACTGAAGCTGAGAGAGGTCAGGCAACCTGGGGAGAAATCCCTTTCTGTCACTCAAGACCCTACTGTGACTTTAAATATCCCTGGGGGACATTTAAAGCTCCAGTGACGTTGCGGGTATTCGCTGAGCCGCTCTGGACTTCAGTTTCCATTCAAAAGGCTCAGCGCTAGGGCAGGTACCGGTCGTCACGGACCGGACCGAAGTCTGCAGCCACAGCGGCGGGGGGGG